TGCATGCCCCAACCCATCTGCCCTGTTACATGGCTGCTTATATTTAAGCAAGTGATACTTATGGGTGAAGTCCACCCTCACCGCCCCTCACCCCCAACCCTGCCCCAACTTTAAAAAGTTCAAACCTAAAGGCAGCTGTCCGTTCCCCCTCCCCAATATACCCCTTGTGTGCTCTGCCAAAATTCTTTTCTCATTGGGTTCTTGACACCCAATAAGAGGCTCGGTCACATTTGTAATAATTATAAATGCAGTTATAATTGTTACTGTTTTAAAACAAGCGGGAAGGGGGGGGTGGTGTGGAACATTCAAGTCCCTTTCTTATTTTAGGTAAAACATGAGGTATGAGGCAGAACAAGTTGGGCAAGCTAGTGAGAAGGAATTACTGGCTCTCTGGACGGGAAGACTTTTCTTGGAACCTGGAGGGGAGTGGGTGTGGATTGTCCATGTACCTGTGAAGATGTAGTCCTGTGAAAGGTTCAGGAGCTGCAGGGGTGTGGTCACCTTCCTCTGGACACCCCCTCTGAGGTTCATGCCATGTGCTCGTGGTTTGGGTGGGCTGGTGAGTTTCTACTATTGGTGGTTCCATGTCAGAGACGGAGGAATCCCAATAAGACATAAATGGAAGACCGCTAGGACACCTGGGAGCCATTCACCAACATCTCGAGGGAGAGAACTTCAGGATTCTCCTGATGATTGCTTGAAGAGCTCTATATGTAATGAATCAATGGGAAAAGGATTTCCTTTTTTTTTTTTTTAAGATTTTATTTATTTGTGAGAGAGCGAGAGAGAGAGAGAGCATGAGCAGGGAGAGCGGCAGGCAAAGGGAGAAGCAGACTCCCCGATCCCAGGACCCTGGGATCATGACCTGAGCCAAAGGCAGATGCTTAACTGACTGAGCCACCTAGGTGTCCCCGGGGAAAGGATTTTTTGTTTGATGCTCTTTTTTTCTTTATGAAGCACTCCCTGTATGCCATTCATTTTAAAAACATTCATTATTGATTTTGCCCAGAGTGAAAAACCAAGAAGCTGGTTTCCAACTGTCCCTGGCAATGCCACCAGCTTCCATGATGGTGCCTGGGAGGCTGCTGAGGCAGAGCTCCAGGGGACCTGACCCAGTGCTCCCGGTACTGCTTCCACCAACACTGGGCCACCTTATCTCCTTGCCATGGTGGAAGTTTACTTAAGACCGTGTTTTTGTAGAATTCCATTGCTTGACAAATGTTTGAATGCCATCACTTTAGGGAATTGCTGTTTATGGCGCCTGGAAAAATAAATCACTTCTTTTTGAAGAATCATTTTGGATTGCTCACATCTCAAAGAGATGAAATATGTGACCTCCTTCCTCTGTCTCAGTCACAAGCGCTGCCTTGTTTGGAATGCTTGGAATATTTGCCGCTGTGGTTTTAACAAGACAGGTCTCTGCTTTGGAAAAGGCTTTTGTCATAAAAATATTTTTATATATAATATATACTTTAAAAAGTTGTATATATATATTAAACTACTTTATTGAGGTATGATTGACGGGCAAGAAGCTGTACATATTTAATGTAGACAACTTGATGAGTGAGAAGATAAATATATGCCTGGGGAACAGCATAATGCCTCTATTTAACAATGCTATATTGTATACTTAAACATTTGCTAAGAGGGTAGATCTTATGTGAAGTGTTCTTACCACAAATACACGCACACAAGTAATAATAAATAAAGGGGGCAGGAGGAAACTTTTGGAGGTGATAGATATTTTTATATTTTTATAACTTTGATTTGTAACTCACAAAGTAAGGAGTGAGCACTTAATGTGTATATGGCGAGAGATAAGATTATGTTTCAGATGGTCACGATGAACGCAGTTTCTAGTTCTGCCTTCAAAAGACTATTGCTAAGAGATAATCTAAGAAGTAGTCAATTATGTCTTCGTTTCTCAGGTGTTATATGTCTCTTTCTAAAAAATAAGATCGAGGCAATTGGCTGGCTCGGTAGCGCACGCAACTCTTATTCTTGGGGTCATGAGTTCGAACCTCACATTGGGGGTAGAGATTACATTAAAAAATTAAAAAATAGGGCACCTGGGTGGCTCAGTTGTTAAGCGTCTGCCTTCGGCTCAGGTCATGATCCCAGGGTCCTGGGATCGAGTCCCGCATCGGGCTCCCTGCTTGGCGGGAAGCCTGCTTCTCCCTCTCCCGCTCCCCCTGCTTGTGTTCCTGCTCTCGCTCTCTCTCTCTCTGTCAAATAAATAAATAAAATCTTTAAAAAAAAAAAATTTAAAAAAATTAAAAAATAAAAAATAATATAGGTTGAGACTGTCAGAAATAATTGACTTTGTTGAAGAATACCTAGATCTCCTGTTAGATTGGAACAACAGGATTTACCTATTCATAACCGCTTCCTCCAAATGGGCTCTTCGTGTAATTGACATTTGTGGTGGTGGGTGGTTCGGCCTGTGTCATTCCCATCTTCCCTCCTCAGGAAGCATTTACTGGTGGCATTTCTTCTTCTTCCTTCTTTCTTCTCCTTTCTTCTTCTTCTTCTTCTTCTCCTCCTCCTTCTTCCTCCTTCCTTCTTCCTTCTTCCTCCTTTTCCTCTTCTTCTTCCTTCTTCTTCCTCCCTCCCCCTCCTCCTCCTTCTAAAATTGTATTAAATTTTAACATTTTAATTCCAGTATAGTTAAAATACAGTGTCTTGGAGAAGCAAACAGGTGATAGTTGTCTGTGCATAAACTGGGAAGAGGAGAGGCAAAATCACTCATTTTTACTCCTAATTGACCCTAAAGAGAGATTTTTTTTTTTTTAACTTCAAAACACAGAATTTGATAGGCATGTTGATTTGCTCTTGGATGAGAGCTCATTAATAGTTAATCAAATAAGAACACCATGTCTTGAACCTTATTGGGCCTTTCCCAAGAAATATTATGGAAGCCAATCATTGGTTAGCTTCCTATTCAAATTTATTTTTAATCCACTCTACTACTACTCAGGGAGTAGGTGAAAAACTTTGAATATTTCAGGTTAGTAGAGTTAGTAACTATTGATTCTTTCTGGTATGACATTAAGATAGTGCAATTAGATCTCATAGATATTTTTTTTCCTTCTGTCTAATCCAATTTGTTTTGCCCTCCCTTGATTTTGTACTTTTGTACCTATACGTTGAGATGTAAGTCACTGTGGGGCTATATAACAAATGCCAAACATGTAATTTCTTTTGCCCAGAAATGGGGACAGAAAGAGTCTGGTTCTGGTAGGGGGAGAGGCTGTTTACAATGATTTCTGTGGCCAAATTTATTAGAATTGGCCACAGTCTTTTAAAATAGTAAGAACTTTAGGATTTTGCTTCTCTTTAATTAGAACATGGAATTTCTTGATATGATCCAAACTATAGATTATTTTCACAATTATTTTACCTCTTTTAAAGATCATCTGAATAAACACAAGTGGAAAGGCTTCAGCTCTACTTTTTATTTTTCATTGTAGAAAAATCCTTTCTATAGTCATGCCATGTTTGGAGATAGATTTCACTCTGTACAGTTTCAGTGACCTTATGGTACTTGTAGTCATGGGCTTTTTGTCTCTTTCTCTCTTTTTTATCCCTCTCTCCTTACCCCTTCCTCCTTTCTCTCTCCCCTGTTCCATCCCTCCATGTAATACCCGCTTGTGAGGCAGCTATGACATAACGGACCAGGCACTGGGCTTGGTCTCAGAAGATGGAGGTTTGAATTTTGCTCTGCTATATCCAAGTTCTGAGAACTTTGGCAGATTATTTAACTTCTTAGGACCTCAATTCATCTATAAAATGAAGGAAATAATCCTCATGGTTGCAAAAGTTGAAATGAAATGACGTATGTGAAGGAACACAATGAACACTGATGCCCTGTTGAAAAAAAAATTTATTGGTATAAAATATACATAACATAAAACTTACCCTTTCAATCATTTTTTTTTTTAAATTTATTTATTTGACAGAGAGAGACACAGCGAGAGAGGGAACACAAGCAGAGGGAGTGGGAGAGGGAGAAGCAGGCTTCCCGCAGAGCAGGGAGCCCAATGCGGGGCTCGATCCCAGGACCCTGGGATCATGACCTGAGCCGAAGGCAGACGCTTAACCACTGAGCCACCCAGGCGCCCCACCCTTTCAATCATTTTAAGTGTGTCATTTGGGGGCCTGAAGAACACTCACAGTCTTGTGCACCCATCACACTATCCATTTGCAGAACTTTGTCGTCATTCCAAACAGAAAGTCTGTACCCATGAAATGGTAACTCTGTTTCCCCCATCCCAGCCCCACCTTTCTACTTTCTTTCTCCATGAATTCGACTTGCTAGGTACCTCACATTGATGGAATCACACAATATTTGCCCCTTTGGGTCTGGCTTATTTCACTTAGCATAACGTCTTCAAGATTCATACTGTAAGCGTGTGTCAGAGTCTCATTCCCTTTTAAGGCTGAATACTAATCCATTGGATGTTTATATCACATTTTGTTTATCCATTCATCTCTTGATGGGCATTTGGATAGTTTCCACCTCTTGGCTGTTGTGAACAATGGTGCTAGGATCCTGGGTGTGCAAGTATGTGTTTGCATCCCGGTTTCAGTTCTCTTGGGTGTACACCGAGAAGTAGAATTGTTGGATCATATGGTAATTCCTTGTTTAATTTTTTTGAGCGATATCCTATTTTCAAGTGTCTCTCTCTCTCTCTTTTTTTAAATCTGTTGGATTGTAGCGATGCAACTCCTAAATGGTGTGTTTGTTCCCTGTGGTCTTTTCATTCCTGTAATTTACACGAGAGGAGGCAGGATGGTGAGGTTGTAAATGTCAGGACGCCAGGAGCACCTTGCCAAGGTACCAAGCTCTGGAGCCCACAGTTCTCAGAAAGGCCTTTGCTGTGTGCCTAGACAGCATGGAAGGTGAAGGTTTGCCCTGGTGGGGCCCAAATGTGTTGAATGAATATAATATTCAGCTGTATGAATGACTATAATATTTTCTGCTTTGGACCTTCCCGTAGGGATTGAGGAGACCTGAAGAACGCCGAGGATAGGCTGATGGGCTCAGGCGACAGGTTCCAGTATCTCACCATGAGCACTGAAAATCCGACGGCAGGAGACTTGGCTCCAGCTCCCCTTGTCACTTGCAAGCTCTGCCTATGCGAACAGCCCCTGGACAAGATGACCACACTCCAGGAATGCCGCTGTCTCTTCTGCACAGCTGTGAGTTTTCCTTCATGCTTTCATCGCGAGCGTGAGAAAATACAGATGGGCGGGGAGCACTGTGAAAGGACAGGACCAGCTTCCGTGGCTTTCTGAGAAGCCAGGGTTTGCGACAACAGCCTTCTGTTTTGGAGAGTGCTTCCACCTTTGGATCTGTTTCCAAGTAGTATCTTGAGTGGTAAATCTGGTATTTACTGGTTTTGAGGCAAAGGATAATGTATGTGTGAAATTTAATTATTGGTTAAATAAGCAGAATCTGTTCTTCAAGGACTAGGCAAGGAACAAAATAGAAATATTTCTAACATGTCTTAGTTAACTACCATCTGTAAGGCATTTTGAATGATGGAGAAAGCAGGTAGCAATTTATTGAATTTTCTTGCATAGACTTGCTCATCTTCTACAAAGCGCATGAGATCTAACTCTTTGACTTTGTCATATCTTCTTTTTTTTTTTTTTCTATTTTCCCAATATGCCGGATGGTACTTATTTGTCATAAACAAGAGAAGCCTGTAGATCTCTAGGGGTGGGCTTGTCTCTTTTATTCTGACACTTGATATCAATGTCTGTGACCCTGATCACACGGATCCCTGACGGTTGGTTGGTTAAGGTGTGAAGATAGGAAACAGGCTGATAGAAGTGGCTGCTAGAAGCATGAACCCAGGTGGTCTTATTCAAATTTTCATTTATTCAAACATCTTTTGAGCTCCTACCATGTACCAGGGACTCTGCTGGATGTTGGGAATATAGCAGTGAATGAGATGCTTCCCACAGGGAAGATGGACACATTGAAGGAGCCATTCAAGTTTAGTGAAATCAGGGGAAGCTCGATGTACCAAAGGAACTCTCACCCACGTGGGGGTGGGAGGGACATCCTGGTGGCAGTGATCTCTGAGCTGAGGCTTTAAATAAGAGTTGCAAACGGATGCTCGTGGACCGCGTCTGGGCTCAACACATTTTTGTTTGGATCCCCAGTTGGGGTATTTCATGAGAAAATGAAAAAGTGGTAAGATAGAGCTACTCTGGGCCTATATTGATAGGCCCAGAAATAGATGATCTTAAAATTTATTTATTTAAGATTTCTTTTTATTTATTTTAAAGAGAGAAAGCGAACAAGCACACAGGTGGGGAGAGGGTCAGAGGGAGAGAGCCCCAAGCAGACTCCACGCCCAGCACAGAGCCCGACACAGGGCTCAATGCCACGACCCATGACAGCATGCCCTGAGCTGAAACCAAGAGTCGGATGCTCAACCGACTGAGCCACCCAGGCGTCCCTCCTCTGTTTATATTACCTGCCTCTCTCCTGTTTGTATTTGCATCAACTATATTTTTAAACTGAAGATGGATTAAGACTCATGCAGGATGCCTGCTGGGATCTCGGCATGGCAGAGGCCTGATGCCTGAGTTACAATATTTAACATTTATCTTTGCTTTGGTGGGCCTTATATGGGCACACTGTTAATATTTATTATACAAAAAGTATAATAATCACCAGACAAAGGCGGGTTTAATGCCCTGACTTGCGAAGGAAATTGAATTGTTCAGTTACAGTGACCAGTGCTTACATCAAGGGGAGCAAGGAGAAAGGAATCGTTAAGGAAGTAGAATCATTTATCAAGAGGTATGTTTACTAAGCATACTTTAAAAAAAACAACAACATAACAAGTTAAGGTGAAATAAATTTTGCTCCATCTCTTTCCGCTTAGTTAATTTAATCAACACGACATGTTCTCAAGCTCGTGTATATCAATTAAAAAATTTTTTTTGGATTAAGGATTAGAGGAGGGAATAGCCTTGGGATGATTTTTAGGTAAAAGGAAAGTGACTAAAATCCTTCCCTCAGGTCTCCAATTCTGAGATCCAAAGATGACAGCGAGTAGTATTGTTTATCCCTTTGATCATTTGGTCCCCACTGAGCCGTACCATGTCCCAGGAACTGTTCTAGGCACTGGGATTTAGCAGTTTAAGAAACAAAACCCAGCAGAGATCCTTGCTCTTAGGAGATTGCATTCGATCAAAGGCAGTTGCATAATAAACAATAAACATAATAAATGGGCGAGTTATACAGGGTTGGGTACTAGGGCTTCGGGAAGAAGCAGAGTAGGGCTAGGGAGGTGGAGCTCAGGTTGGAGATGTTGCATTTCTCATCGGGTGTCAGGCCGAGGCCTCGCTGACATCTGTGCTGGTTCATCCTCTTCTCATCAGCCTGTGTTGCTTAAGGAAGTAACCTTGTCACCCAGGGGTGGCTTCGGTTTCCTTTGGTTTTGCTTTGCTGCCGAGGGCCGTGCCTCTGAAGGGATTATTTCTCTGACTTTCTCACCTATGTTTCGGACCCTTGCCTGATCCTTGAATCAAATGAGTCAGAAGCAACGCTTGGTTAAAGGCAGGATGGAAATTTTTGTCTCGGGGTGACTGATGTTGAAAAAGCAGGATCTGGAATTGAGTTTTTGCAACGAGACTAAGCAGTTCAGGATTCCAGTTTGTGCACAGGCGTCTCTCTCTCTCTCTCTCTCTCTCACACACACACACACACACAGACGCAGACGTGGTATCTGATCCTGTCACAAGCATTGTTGCAAGAGCTCTTAGTTCCCAGTTAAAAACACCGCAACGGCTTCTCAGTTCTCCTTTGGCAATTTGACGTTAGGCGTTAGGACAATTAGATTATTCTGTCGTCTGCGATCATACTTCCTCATTGTTGGGGAGGGAGTGCTCCTAACCAGAACGGCAGATGGCTTGGTTTTTTGATATCCCTCCAAGTCTGGAACTTTTTGTGCCTATAAACGTCAACCTTCCCTGGCTTCCTGATACCTCATTCCCTGTGATCTACCAAAACAGTAAGCTGCATGTGCTTGATTACATTAGTGTCTGCAAATTTGCAATTGGCATCAGACTCACCTGAAATACTACTCTAACTTTTCATTGTTTAGACCTTTTATTTCTTCTTTTAAAAAGCTATTAAAGGATGTGTCTGATCCCCCAGATTTTATTTTGCACTTAAATATTAGGTATTAAATATTGATATTAAAGATACCAAGTGTGTTTTGTGTTTTCAAGGCTGAGAAGAAATTTGTGACTTTGTTTTTTGAAGATTTTATATATTTATTTGAGAGAGCGAGAGACGGAGACAGCATGAGCAGAGGCGAGGGGCAGAGGTAGAGGGAGAAACACTCCCCACTGAGCAGGGAGCCTGACTCAGGGGCTCGATCCCAGGACCGTGAGATCATGCCCTGAGCCAAAGGCAGACAATTAACCAACTGAGCCACCCAGGGGCCCCGTGTGACATTTTTTAATAGGGCATATACTACTAATTTCCAGCTTTAAATATGATTGGATGACATCTCCTAATTATTGGCTGGGAAAGGCATCTTTTGCATTCTGTGTCTTTAAAATAGTTTTGCTGAGATACTTCTCCCTCCCCTCCTCATTAGGAGGGTGACCACATGGAATGGTCCTCCTGCTGGATCCAGTATACTTTCATAGATTTATTATTATTATTTTTAAAGATTTTATTTATTTATTTGACAGAGACACAGCAAGAGAGGGAACACAAGCAGGGGGAGTGGGAGAGGGAGAAGCAGGCTTCCCACTGAGCAGGGAGCCCGATGTGGGGCTCAATCCCAGGACCCTGGGATCATGACCTGAGCCGAAGGCAGACGCTTAATGACCGAGCCACCCAGGTGCCCTTACTTTCATAGATTTAATAAAGCTTTTTATACCTTTTATCCTTGTCCTGTTTTCCCTAAGAAGTATCCCTGACCAGGTTGCAGTGAGCTTAAATTCTTTGTTTCCAAGATCAGTGTGCCCTGGGGAAGCAGTATGGAGATGTGGAGTGTCTGACTTGACCATTGGATGTGAGCCAGCTCATTCCTTATCTTTCGGGAGATCTGGCCTTTAAATAGGTGCCCCCAACCCACATGTGTTCTATGGACCTCCAGCTCTGTGAAACAGAGTGATCCTTGAGTAGAGTGTTCCGTGGTCAGATTAGCTCAGAAACTGGTATGTTCTCTCTTTCTCTTCTTAGAAGGGACATAATGCACTCGAGAGGCTCTGTGAAATCTTGTGGTTAAAAGAAAAGCAAGGGGACCCTGTTTAACTTCTCCTGAGGAGGCATTTCCATTTGACCATGCCACCTTTTTAGTTGAATACCCATTAACTTTCCCACAATTTGTGCGCTGGAAAATGCTGCTTTAAATCATTTACGTGTAGGTAATTCTTGATTTAAATGACATCCAGAGAACAGAATGTGATGGATGTTGCTTCAGATACTCCATCAGTATAGCTAGTTTCTTGTTAAAGGAAACTTCGTGTGTTCTGTTTCTGAGGGTGGTTTCTGTTAGACTGTTTGCTCAGCTTTAATATACAGAAGAAAGTGTAGTATAAAGCAAGGAAGTCTGTACGGGACAGAAATGGGTATAGCTCTCATTAGCATGACTGAACTCATAGATCATGAGGTGCATTATGGAGCCAAAGAAGTTGATATTTTGGGGTTATGGAGAGAGGTGTTACGAAATTACTTGTTCTTGCCCTTGAAGGGTAAGTATCTCAGGGATGTTAGTCTGCTAACTAATGGTATGCAAAATCTCTCTCTCCTCCCTTCTCTCTCTTTCTCCCTTTCTCCTGTGGATTTAAATAACCCAAACATGAAAATTCAAAATTTCCTTTTCTGGCATTTGCACCATACTCTTTCAGATAATACCACACCATTATAATTCAAGTGGAAGAAAAAAAAATTCACAAAAGTCAGTTATCAAAGGAGGGAAAATTTGTAGGTTTGCTCCCTGATGAGCAACTTTTGCCTCTCTGATTTATTTTGGAAGGTATTTCTGTCCGTCACGAATTAAAGAATAATGGAAACAGTTGTTGCTTGTTTTCATAACCTAGATAATTTCACCTGAAAAGAGTCGGTATGTTGGGCATGGCCTATTTACCTTTCAGATTACAGACAGGATGTGCTGAGCAAAAAGAAAATAACGTCCAGCCATATTCTTGCCTTTTTTCCA